TTCTGCTCATTGGTACAGGAGATGTGTACCATAACACTGCAGCCCTCGCAGGTGCTAGTCCCTGCAGAGCTATGGTGAAACAGCCCAGCAGTACGTTACGGAAACCAAACTTCTATGTTATTGGAAAAGGTCTTTCAAAAAGGACCTTCAGACAAGGATGCCGAAATTCATTCAAAGATCCTGCCTTAAAAGTTTAAATTCAGAAGAGGTCTATAAGCAAAACAGTAGGCACACATGACTGCACAGGACCATTACCGTACAGGTGACAATCGTTAGTCTAAATGCAAACATTTGCTCTGCAATGTCGCTACATGACCTGGTCACCCCCCAACTCCCTTTATACTCAGTGTATTAAGCCCCACCTGCATTGATCTGATCGCCATGGATTGGGAAAGGAGTTTAGGGTGCCTAGACTGCAAATGCACAGCTTTTGAAATTTCATGTGTAAGGAAGACTATACTGTCTTATGTGTGCACCATAATTAACATATGGTGAAAAGTGAGCTTTGCATCATCACACCACTCTGTGCAAAAATCCTTCTAAAGTATGGAAAATGCACATGAATTTCTTGTGTACTAAATTTTAAAACTTCAGCCTCAGGATTAGTTGATCTCTTAGCGACGAGCTGCAGATGACTGTGACTTTCACACCACAGTTCTTTCATTTTCAGTGTTTGACACTATTGCCATTGTTTCGGAAGGAGATACATTCACTTTCTGTTAGATATTTAAAATTTTCAAATTGTGCTGTAATATAGATTAAAAGTTAGTACTGTCTGCAGTAGCTGTTCAGACATGCTGTAGATATTTCCAAAATGGCAGAAATTTGATTGAAATTAAAAAACAATTGATTGTGCATGCACTTTTTTTTAGTCAAGAGAATATCAGTGAAACATCTTGCAAATAATGATTCAAAAGCATATTTTTTGGTGATAGAAACTAAGCTCTCAAGCTTTTTAAAAGTGACTAGTGATCATAAAGTTTTCCTGAAATCGAGACCATTTTCACCTTCAAGGCTATTTCAACAGCAAATAACAGGTGTTTTGAATTTTGCTGGCATTTGTCTCAGAGAAGTACAAACATTCATGGGAGAAACAGTGCTATGAAAACTTGCAGTACAGAGAAAGAGGAATGACGATTAAGTGGTGCAGTGAAATTTAGAACTGGGTTTACTTGCTATTTCTGCTACAGATTTTCTGTATTAACTTGGACAACTAATGTAGCCTTTCTCTGCTTTCATTCCTGATTTATAAGATGGAGCCCAGGGTCATAGGGATTTTGTATGGACATGTCAAATGGTGATGCATGTACCCTTTATGCTTAGGTAATAGCATGGAGGGGAAAGGTTGCTAAAGAAATTACAACTGTCTTTTCCCCTAAGTACAGACTTTAAGCTTTTGATTATTCTCTTCTCTATCATCATTTTGAAGACACAGGGAAGCAGTAGAACAGATTCTAGTTTCATCCTTGTCTTGATACAGTATTTTATTAATAAAAACAGCAGGCCTGCTTCTGAGCCAGAAATAAAACTCTTGGACCCTGACTTTTACCTCTATGCCTTGATCACAGGATGAGCTGTTTTATAAAACAAATGCTTTATAACCAAAAGCAAAGTGATTTCATCTTGCACATGAGAGATGATGATTCAATGTTATAGCAGGGTGAAGAGTCTCTTGGCTCACACACATGGTTTATCAAACAACTACTCCAGTTGCCACAGCTACTTAGTGCTTGTGTCCAGCTCTTTCTTCATTTTTATGTGAACTTTTGAAATGTGTTGAATTGTGAATCAAACTGACAGTTGTATTTAGGCAGACTTCCGTGGAATAGAGAAAGGAGAGGGAAAATTGCAAAAGATTAACTCTGTGTGCCTTCTAGGTTCTTGAAATGTAAAGCACGTGGCATCTTAAGAATGTTTAGCTTTTACAACCTTTGCATTAGGTTTCTACTGCCCAGAAATGTTTGCAGAATGTGCAGAATGGGTAGTGTTCACCAGTATGCTCTGATAGCCCTGTAAAGTATTCATTGCCAAAGCCACGGTCAAACATCCAGTATTACAGGACTGATGATGCAGGCTGAGGTTATAAAAAAAAAAGAGGCAACCATAAGATACTGGAAGATGAGAATTCAGTCAGACACTGAATGGTTTTAAACAATCTGGGGTGCAGCTTTTCTTTTTAAGACATTTCTTCTTTGCCAAGATCTGAAGTGTAGGAGTACAGAATACAGCCCATAGCTTGATTTCAGATCTATATAAAGCTGGATTTTACAAAAGAGGATCAGAAACCTACCAATTCTTCAGACCAGATTAATTGACAGCCCATCAGATCCCGCAGAGCAGTGACCATGCTGGCATCTTAGGATTTGTTTTCTTAACAGTGGCAGATCATTTCTAGTCAAATGGATTTTGGAGAAAGGTTACAACATATGACCCTTCAGAAGATGGAGAAGCCGTAAGGCAAACAAGCATCAAACACGTGCCATTTTTATATTAAGTGCTAGGTGTTTGTGTTGTTAGCAAAGGTAATTTATCTTATAGGAGTTTGTGAACTTACTGAGTTTTAACTAGTGTGAATTTACGTGTAGTTTTAGGGGTCATCCTGCTGTATCCCGCTGGATATACAAGCCATTTTATTCTGTCTGGAGAACTTGTAACTGTGCAGCAATGCCTTGATCAACAGAGAGGCAAGATGAGTACAAAGAACACACAGTCTTCATGTGAGGGCAGCTGCATGGCTAAAAGAAAAAAAAAAAGTCACTAGCTGGAAAAGGTCAGTGTTTATCACATTGGGGTTTGAACTCTCATATCACAATGACATTTAGACAACACAATCTTCCCACAACAAGCAGTTTCTCTTTTCTTACTATTTTCATTGTCTTTATTAAATGAATGTCAAGTTTTTATCATACCTAACCGAAGATTAATTAAGTAGTCCTTTCTGTTTTCTTCTCCTTGTTTATCTTTCATTGCAGATCAGCAAGCAGCAGTTTGAGCTAGCTGCCTTACCCGCTTTCAGGCTCCTCAGCATACCTGCTAATTTCTGTTGTAGCATTCCTTTTGTAGAATGGGAATTTTAACCCTATCCCTCCCAAGTGCAGCACAGCTCCTTCTTACAAACTACTTCAAAGCACAAAACCTGAGACCCAAACATTATTTTACATTGAATTTTAGAGTAATGAGTTATGTATCTCATACATGTGACTAATGTATTTATACATAAAATACAAAGATAAGTCAAAAGGTTGGCCAAGAAAACAAATTTTAGACTCTTTGTGAACTGGAGAGTACTTAATATATTATACACATACTTCTCAGACACAACCATAGCCAGATGCCTAAAGCAAGCAGCAAGAATCCCCTCCTTTTCCACAACAATTAATCTAGGCCAAACAAAGGAAAAAGAAAAAAAAAAAAAAGATTTTGAGGAGGAGTGGGAACAATGGAGCTGAGCTTTTAATGTGTATGCAGTTCCAGAGGAAATTTTGTCAAATGTCTGTGACAAAACAGTTCAAAGTATCTGGTCTACGTGCAGAGTTTATTGAGCAGAATAGAGATTTCGTGAGAAAAGAATTCTAACAGATGTGGCCTGCTGAGCGTGGTCCATGGGATCTGTGCACTAGAAGCTGTTTTGATATCAGTAGTTCGTGGTGTAATTAGAGAGCAGCATCAGCTTTAAAAACAATCATTTTAATATTTTCCCTCAGAAGGAAGCTTCAGATTTTTAAGTGGATTCTTGCTTATGAATGGAATGCTATGGACTGTACTAAAACCAGCAACTCTTTCTTCATCAGCTGCATGGAGAGTAATGATTCTTATTTGCAAACTATAAAATGAAGCAGACATAAGCCTTAAGGATGAAAAGTACTTATTTTTCCTTCCCAGTGTTGTAAGTTAGCATACTTTTCCCTACAGCGTACAAAATAATATGCTTTATAGATCTGAGGCAAGCTAGGGAGAGAGAAGTTAAATGCCTTAATCCTCCACTCCATCAGGTCTAATAACAGCCATTGAAGACAAATATACAGCCAATTACCAATCCAGTAACTCCTTACTAGTTACTTAATTCATACTCAGTATATGACCATGGTAAGAAAGAATTTGACCATCAGGTTCAAATGGATTAAATTCTCCTGTGCCACCAATATGCATTAACAGAATAAATTCTAGCCCTGAAACAGGCATGAAAAGATGATCTTTCTTGCTGCAGTTTTCAAAGACCTGATGTGAATAATAGTATTAAACCATCCAAACTTCAGGAATATTTTATAGTGGCAAGTGTTAAGCAACCGAAACCGGTCAAGCAACATCAGTTTCCACTGTTACCACAGTAAATTTGCTTTTATGTCATGCCTTAAAATCTTCATGAAATGATAACTTTCTAGAGACACAACAATACATTTTTGAGGAGGCTATTTTTTATAAGACACTACCTTGTTCATTTTTGCTTGTTTATATCTAAAGAGAAATAATTAAAGACAGAAATAGCACGATGGCTTTCTTTGTGAGGAAAAATGCATCAGGAAATCATGTTCAGAAAGGACTGAGAGAACCCCTAAATCCAAACGCTGTGTGTTCATAAGGCACCCTCCTGTTTCATGGCTCGAGCACCTCTCTACTCACACGATCAGTGAATATTTTGACAAACCTGGTCTGAGTTTTCTGCTCGCAAAGTTACAGATGAGGCAAGTTTTCCACAGCTTGGAGTTTATGGCGAGCGCTCCGCACAGCCCTGGTTATGTGCTTTCTTCTCATGACATCAGTGCTGAAGGGGAGAAAGAATGTAAACATCTGTTTTGTATAATTCACTTCCAGCCTTATAACTTGATTAGGGTAAGCAAATGGTTTTACGTAATTAATTTTCCAGTCACAATGTGATGGTTGTGAGTGTACCAGCCTTAAGATGAAGTAAAACACAGGGGAAACTAAGGACGTTTTGCCTCATTTTCCAGTTTTCCTCACAGCATCAACTAAAGCTCACTAAAGCTGTTTGCCTCGTCCACATGCCTAATCCTGCTGAAAGGAGGTGATTTTCCTATCAGTGTTCAAAAACTGATGCGCTCCGGCTCGCCCACTCGTGCTTAGTGCTGGTGCAGGCAGGTTTGCAATTGCACATCCCAAACCCACTACTGGGAAGGTATTTCCCAGCGTTTATTGGGACGTGGCCGCAACTCGAGACAACTCAGAAAAAGAATAAACACAACAATAAACAAAACAAAACAAGAAGCTTTTTGTCATCCCTGCGCACGGTGAGGTGAAAATACCACAGGTGGGTCAGGTCAGCCCTCCCCCCCCCGCCTCCCCGCTGCTGGCCCCGCCCCTCCCGGCTACCGTTAACGGCCGCTAACGGCCGCCCCGCAGGGGGCCCCTGAGGTGGGCGCCGGGGGGTCGCGGCGGCCAATGGGAGCGCGCGGGCGGGCGCGGCGGTGGCGGCGCTCGCGGCTGCCGCCAGTCGCGGCATGGCCGGGAGGCGGGAGCCGCCGTCACGCTAGCGAAGCCGGGCGGCCTCCCTGCCCGCGTTGCCCCCGCCGCCGCAGCGGGGGTCGCGGGCGCTCTTGGGGCGTCAGCCATGGGCTGCCCGGGCTGCTCCCCGGCGCTGCTGCTGCTGCTCCTGCTGCTCTCGTGCCCCTGCGTCGCCTCGCCGGGCGCCAGCGCCGGGGACGTCCCCGAGGGCGCCTCCACCCTCGCCTTCGTCTTCGACGTGACCGGCTCCATGTACGACGACCTGGTGCAGGTCATCGAGGGCGCGTCGAAGATTCTGGAGACCTCCCTGAGGAGACCCAAGCGGCCGCTGCACAACTTCGCCCTGGTGCCCTTCCACGACCCGGGTAAGGCACGGAGCCGCTCTCCGGCTGCCCGGGGATGCGCAAAGAGCGCCGAGGGAGGGCTTTCCCCTCAGGGTTGTGTGTAGGAAGGGTTCCCTTCCCCGCGCTCCCAGGAGGTTGGAGCATCAACGTTTTTGTGCCCTACGTTGTTCATGCTTTCCCCGGGCATCTCTTCTCTGTGGTAACTTGATGGTAGCTCTGCACTTCTGCCTTTTCTGCCTTTCAGCAGCAGAAGTTTCAAAAATCAGATAAGCTTGAGGTAATTTTTCTTTAAAATGCTCCATCAATACCATCTAGTAGTTCTAGGGGACTTTAAGTTGCTCTGGAGAGGTAAATTGCCTCTGTGACTTTCTCCTGTGGAGAACATGTGTACTAGGAACTAGTGGGTTGGTTTGATTGTTTTTTAACGTGTTCTTTACTGAAACACTTCTGTGAACTTAAACAATATCATCATCCCACTTTGCCTGAGTTTTGTTGTTGACTGTTCAAGCTTTTGTTCCTCCTTCTTTCTCTCATTCTACCACTCCACCTCTTTCTTTCTGCCGGGCATCCTGTGTTCCTGCCTTTCAGCATCTGTTTTCTATTCCCTTCCTATCCCTTTCTTCCTTTTCCCTTGTCAAGGATCTTTTAGTGACTTGAGAAGGAAATAGGAACAGGATGCTTCAGGCTGGTGATGTGTGCTCTGCTATGCAGCAAATCTTTTCTTTTTTTTTTCTTTTTTTTTTTTTTTCTTTTATAAAAAAAGGTGGAGGGGAAGATGGAGAAAAGTCCTTGCAAATACTTTTCTGCCTTTCTGGATCTAGTTTCCATGGAATATCTTGGAATGTGGTATTTTAGAAATCAGTTGGTACAACTTTATGCTTTGCAGGATATCATCAGTGAAAACAGACCCTCTTCCACCTCCCCACCCCGCATCATAAGATATTTCTTCCTGCAAAGTATTTATTTGCTATTGATAGAAACATCTTAAATCCTTTTCTTGGAAAATCAGTGAAAAACTTGTCTTTGCAAATTTTGCTATTTAATTTTCCATGATTGTGTGTATCTATGTTATTATTACTAGGAGTCCATTAATGTACTGTTAACAAAAAGGAATTGTTTTACCTTTTTTTTTTTTTTGTTTCTTGCTTTTATGTTTGATATTACTTTTCTTGCCCTTCCACATCTTTCTGATGGTTTATGAAACAAATATGTATATGACTTAATAGACTATAATGACACAGAAATCAGCAAGGAGGAAAGAATTTTGGACAGGTGTAAGCACTGAGCTGTGTAATATCCATTTGAAAAATTAAGCTAATAGTCCTCCTTTGGAAGTAATGGGACAAAATTAGTATGATAGGGTATTTTTTGATTTATTTTTTATTTTCTATTTTTAATCTATTTATATATGTTTCATGTCTCCTCGCTGAAAGGGTCTCTTATGAGAATTGATAGTTTTCTTTTTTCAGAATGGCTTGGGCACCCCCATGAACCTGGGGAGCATGAGAGTGATTTTGCATGGAACATCTTTAAGTTGCAAGTTTATGTGAGTGGTGCTACTTTCTCCTCTGCTCTTTTTCAGCCTTGACATAATGAATTTACAGCTTTTATAACTAATATTTCTAATGCTTAGCCTTGATTAGAAGTTAATTTCAAATCCCTTGTTTCAATAGCTACTTTTTCCCCCCATCCTACGTGTGTTCTCTTCCTTGTTCATTTTTTTTCCTTCTTTCCCCTCTCTCTTCCATTCTCCCTGAACCTCTTGTGTTCACTGGCTTTCTAGATCTTCTTGCTTTTGTTGCAGACTGATTCTTTTAATCATACTTTCTTGCATCACCTCTTTCTTACTCTCTGCATATGCAATTAGCATTGAATCCATTACCACCTTCCTCCCCTGATTCAGGCGTTTTCCCCCACTGCTTGCAGACTTGTGGCTTCCTTGCCTCCACCCACATACCTCTCTTTTCACAGGAGACCCCTTTTCTTGGCAAATGTTAGATTTCATCACGCATCATAACAGAAACCCAGACCTGCAGAGCGCTGGCTTATGCAATTAAGAAGCCCTTGTGAGCATATATTATGTATCCTGTTACCTGTCTTTATATGGAAGTCCCTGACCAGCCAGAGGGGACAAGAGTATGATGGATAACTTGCTATGACTTAAAGCAGTTTGGTAGTAGAGAATACATCATTTTAAACTTTATTTTCTCTTAGCTTATGAAAATTATTTCTGTATTTTTATGCAAAAGATGGTAGTAAATAGTATAGTCTACTGTCTGGAATTTTAGGGATGTAGCAGCTCAGAGCGCTAGTCTGCCTACTTTGGAATACTGCATTTGATGATGAACAAATGCAGGCAATTCAAAGGAAAATGCAAGAAATACTGTTGTTACCAATTCTTCAATCTCCCCTTTGCATCTAGGGAAAAGTACATTTCCCCAAAACTCTACAGAAATTACTGTTTGGCTTGGATTTCACAGTGTCCCACTCATTTACTTTGGACTAGTGTTGCTGTCTTTGAAGTCTGTTTAGCTAAGTTGATGAGCATAATTTTTTTTCTCAAGTTGTCTGATTATTTGCCCAACAGAAACCTTCTGTTGTTTTTCAAAATTGAGCTTTCTAGAGCTCCACAGATGAATTTACTTTACATTTTTGAGAGGCAAATGGGACTGCTGGGAGTGTGGCATGTATTTGGAGCTCAGCACCAAGGAGTGTCTCTGTACATAAAGCTATCCAGATGCACTATAGTTACACAGTAGTGTAACTGGATTATCCTTACAGTTTAAATTTTATGATAAGTTAGCTTTTAATTCTTCTTGTTTTGTAACTTGTGTTGTACAGTGTATGATGAACTTCAGTAGCATGTGGCAAAGCAGAGTTTTTTTGCTGAGGGGAGTGTGTTCCTCAATCATATAATAGTCTGTCCTGGAAGAGACTTGATATATTGCCCAAGGAACATCAGAATCTTAGATAACTAGAATTTTTTTGAAATCCTGCTTTATTCTGCTAGATGGTATTATCAGAGTGCTGCCTATTAGTGCTGCGCTATGTTACAAAGGCATATTGTAGTCTTTAGTGGTAGTTTTGAATGCAGTGTTATCACTATCACACTGGTGTTTTGCCCAGACTATAGTATTTTGGTAAAATAGAAGTGACTGACAAGTATGTTTTGTCATATTAAGCCTGAGTTTCTGGTGTAGACCAGAATTATGGCCTCCAAAATAATTAAAGGATGGGTTTCACGTTCTGCCACCACCATGTTATCCTGTGGTATGCTGAGCTTCTGTTTTGGAAAAGCCTTTTGTTGTGCATTCCTCTTCATGTATGTGCATGTGCAACACTTCCAGCAGATTACAGGGATTTTTTCAACTCTGTTTTTCCAGTGCATAAACATGATCACAGTAATTTCATAGATGGTGAAAGAATCTATTGAAAAAGAATCCGCTTGGAAGTCTGTTTTCAATGAAAAATTGACAAAATAATTAATTCAGGAGGGTTGGTGCAGGGAATCTTAGAATTGGATCTAAAGTTCGAGATCAATGAGCTGTGATCAATCAATACTGTTATAGCTGTGTGTAGAGGGTTCTGATTTTATGCCGACTCCTATTGTGTTCTGTGGTAACCAGATTGGACTCGGAATGTCTTTATTTAACATCTGTGGCCAGCCTTTCTATTTTTATTTTATACCATTAAGGAATTTTGGAAAGGAAAACAAGCCTAAGAAGACAAATTCATCCCTAGTATTATTCTGTAAAGCTAATGGAATTATACCAGTAATAACTTTGAGCGTGCATGATTTCATTTTTTTAATCAAGCATTCCTTTAGTGTGAGTGACTATTTTAATGCGTGAATTCCAATAATTTTGTTTATAAGGAAAATGAAGATAATATTGCTTATGTAGCATAATATGCTGTGTATCTTCAGGTAACCCATTTCTATAAATGCAGTCCATTTTAATTGACTATCTAGAGTTTAAATATTTTTTTTCCATGGAAAGGTAATATAGAAGAAAAAACATGAAGCTTGACTGAGTTCCCTTCATCTTGTAGCAAAGTCTTGTCTGAGTTGTAGTCAGAGTTGGAAGGTTTTGGTAAACCTTAATGAAGATGCAACTGTTTGGTGTACCTTAGATTGCACATGCAAGCATATGTGCAGTAACATTTTATTTGTGGGCTTTGATTTTCCTTGGAACTTGAAAGCACTTACTGTGGTAAACACTGTGGACTTCCTAACATACAGATTTGTTAATAATCAGCTGATCTAGAAGCCTCCAGTCTTAGCATCCTGTATTTTCTCTACAAATTGAATAAGCAGTGTATTGCCTGTATAAGAAATAGGAAAATATTAATAATGCTCGTGTTAATATTAATAATGTTCATGTGCGGAAGAAATGGCATACTTGATTCACTTAGGGTCACAGAGCAAATGTGTAGGAGAACTGGAAATACAATCTTTCTCCCTCAGTCCTACTCCTTTTTTTTGAAAGCAAAGCTCCAGTTATATAATGGAGTAATGGTACACGGTCATTTTTAATATATTCCCATACCTGTCATTAGGTTGCTGGACCACATGCAGGCATGGAACAAGTTGAGAAGGCCCTGTGAAAGGCTTGCTTTTCTTATGTTGAAGAAGGCTAATGCTTTTTCAGAATAGGAACAGAAGGGATCAAAATATTTCATGCTTTTGAAATGAAATATCTTGCAGTTGATCCAAATGAGGAATCAGAAATAAAGGGAGAAGGAAAGTTGTATGCAGGAATGGAAAAATGTATTCCTTCCTTGACATATTAAATGTTGCCTTGAAAAAGACATTTGAAAGTGTTGAGGAATAGACTGTCCTCTAAGCATAACAATAAAGCATCTACCCTTGCTCAGCTGAAATTCTTCCTGTTTTTGATTTAGACATTTGAGGTTGCCTGACCAACCCTTCGAATGTGAGCCTGCAGGTCCTGTCTCTGAGTATCTACAGATGAACAGCATGATTACCTTTCACTACCCAATAGATTTCTCATACAGAATTT